TATTAAAAATAAAATAAAAATAAAAATTAAATAATAAAAATATATTAATTTAATTGATATTATAATTAATTTATTAATTTTAAATTCTTAAATTTGATAAAAAAAAATATTTTTTTAATTTATTTAAAATAAAAGGATATAATAATTTAAAAATTATGAAGACTAAAGTAATTACTAAAAAAAATGTATCCATTTTATATATTACTATAGATAAATAACTCTGGATAATTTACATTTAGAAATATCCGGCCAACACAGACGCCAGATTTTCTGATTTATTCATTAACGAAACTTTTTTGATATGAATATTGAATACTATGTTTGTGTGTAGGAATAAGATAATTAAAAGGAATTAATCCGAGAAATAATAATTAAAAAAAAAAGAAGAAGAAGAAAAACTGCGGTCCAGGTCAGTCTGTCACCATTAAAGTTTAACAAGCAGGGTCCCTTTCTCTCTCAAATAAATTGTGTTTTGTGAGAACTGAGAACCCTTTCTCTCTCACTGCTCCATCCCATAATAAAACCCTCTCTCTCCCCTTTCCCAGTTCCCACACTTGCCACACCTATGTCCACCACCAGAACAAAACTCCCTCTCAACACCCTCTCCGTCAGCCTGGGCTGCGCCAGCTGCAGGCGCCCCAAGCTCCTGCGCCGCCTTTTCCACCCCAAGCCCCGCCCCAAGAGGCCCAACGCCTACCGCGCCTGGGCCGAGGAGCGCGACGACACCGCCACCAGCACCACCACCACCACCAACACCTCCGCCGCCACCTTCTCCCCCTCGTCCTGGGAGTGCGCCAAGACCGTGAGCGGCTTCGGGAGAGCCGGGAGCGAGGGCGTGGCGGTGGAGAAGGACTCCGACGACCCTTACTTGGACTTCCGCCACTCCATGCTGCAGATGATTCTGGAGAACGAGATTTACTCCAAACACGACCTCAGAGAGCTTCTTAACTGTTTTCTTCAGCTTAATTCACCCCACCACCACGGCGTCATCGTTAGAGCCTTCACCGAGATCTGGAACGGCGTCTTCTCCGTCACCTCTTCCTCCTCCTCCGCCGCCGCCTTCCGCCGTAAGTCACGTGACTTCTAGGGGCTCCCTCGCTCGCACGTGCCTGCGCTTTCTTCAACTGCCGAACGCTAATGTCCTGTAACCGCTACATTTCTTCTCATTACTAAGTATTTCACAAACAAAAAATTATAAAATAAATTCAGTTTCTTAAGCAAATTAAAACCGATTTGCTTAAGAAACTCAATTTATTTTATTCTCATTTTTTTTCATCGGAAAAAAAATTATGTAAGCCTGCTCTTGCTTAAATGTTTAGTATTAATTTATTCTCTTCATCCAACTTAAATATAAGAAGAAGAAAAATTCTCGTCTTATTAATTCAGATTCTACTTTTAATGCTTTTATTTTCTTTTATTAAATATTAAGTTTCAACGTAAAATAATATAAAAAAAATAATTATAATAATAAAATAATAATAATAATAATAATAATAATAAAAATAACATTGTTTTTAATCCACCTGGCTTGCCTAATGTAAACTCTATCGTGTTTTCACGGAGTTTTACCTTTTAGTGATTTTGGGCGTTCTCGGTACGTACTTCACTAAAAACAATATTATTTTTAATTGAAATTAATAAAATTAAATAATTTAATTAATTATTTTTTGTTACGTCAGTAAAATTTAGTTTGTATTTAGATATAGATTAATATAATTAATTTAGAATCATGCATTTACAGAATATATTTTGAACAAACGTCGTAGAAAAGTAACGTAATTTTTATTTGAAAGATAAAGGAAATGAACTTGATGATTTTTGTATATTAAATATTCTTTAAAAATTTGTTATCAAAATTTATTTTAAATGTATAATTATAAATTTGGAGAGATAAGATTTTCAAATTCATTTTATTTGATAAAAAAACTAATTACTTTCGTATATTTGAATTTAAATATTTTAAATCTAATTTTGTTAATAGTCAAATTTTGTTAGTTTATACAGTAAAGTTGATTTTAATAGTAGAATATAAACTAAACCTGATTTTGATTGTCTTGAATGGGAATAAAAAAAAAGATAAAAAGATTCCAATCCCGTAGTTATAACAAAGCGTGGAGAGAAAATTTTGCTTAGTTGCTAACAGACAAACGGTGTATGGTGCCGTGAACGTACAGAGGAAACTGTTTTCATGATTAAAAGAGCTAGGGTATGGTGAAGCTCTAAAGCGGAGACTTATTTTATTTTATTGCGTACAGTTGAATCTCATGATGATGCAATCCAGTACAACATGCATGTTTGAGAGATTTAAATTCCTTACATGAATACTATTGTACTGCAACACACGCAATGCAAGAGAGTACTGGATAGAGAGAAGAGATAAGACACGCCATGTAATGGAGAAAGGAAGAGGAAATAAGGTGTTGCAAGAGTTTGTAAGTATATGTGTCGTTGCTATTTTTTACAGTGTTTGATGATGAATGAAGTTGGGAGGGGAAAAAAAAGTAAGAAGAATAAAAGTAAAAGAGTTGGAATAAGAAAAATATGTTCTTTAGACGGATATAAAAAAAATACATAAATAAGCATTACTTATTTTAATGAATAAAACAGAGTAAACAATTTATTTATTTATTTTATTAATTTAAAATATTTTAAAAGTTCTAGAGGAGAAACAATACAACATTCACTTTAAGGGATAATTTTCCAAGAAGTGTTTTCAACAAATTGGGTTCTTTAAGTACCATAATATAATATTCAGTATCCATACAATGGGATATGCAACTTTCTTCTAGTTCTAAGTGGTTAATACAGTTCAACAACACAACAACTCATTATATTTTCAATATAACAACACAAACAACACACAACTTTTGAACTCATATCTTCATCAACACAACTCATTTACAATAATATAAACGAAATGCATTTGAACAACACATCATATTTTTAGTATAATTACATAATCAACACGCTACTTAGTCAACACTCAATGTACAACTTAAACCTAACTCATCAGATAACAACTCAAATCAACAAGAAATCAACACTTTATCAATCAAATCGTCAAGCTTTACTTCAACAACTCACGCTCGATGCTACTCATCTTGTGCCCAATGTCATCCAAGCAAGGAGTTCTCTGCCTCGCCCATGCCTAGTGCTACACAACCTATGCCTGGTGTGGCTAAGGCAGAGGCCCTTAGGACCTCATGCTTGGCATGGTAAAACACCACACCTAACTCCATCTTAGGCAGAAAGTCTATACTTGAGTTTCATCCGACATCATTACCACGACACCCAGCAAAAAACAGATAAAGAGCTCTAGCTTGGCCATGTTGAGAGCCACAAATCATTAGGCCAGTGTCCAAGTTAGAGAGCTCCTAAGACATCCATACCTTATGCCATTCAACCACACCCAACATCGTTCCAACCCGAGACGAATTTCTCTCCTCACATTCGACGTCACCAATCCTACGCCTGGTGTGATCGAGATAGAGAGCCTTAAGTTAGAATAGCGCCTGACGCATTGAAGGCCCACCCAGCACGACATCAAAATTCTGCATGTGTAGAACTTGATTTTGAGTCAAAACTTGAAAATCAACAAACATCCCACACATGCAACCATGAACAACTATTATATACATCACAACAAACTCATAAATGCACTTAAAATCAGCATGCAACCACAAACAACTATTATATACATCACAACAAACTCATAAATACACTTAAAATCAACATACAACCAAAAATCAACTCAAATCATCAGATTCTTCTCAAAACCCCTAAAACCTCATCTCTCAACATCCAACAATCTCTAATTTGATCCATATTTAGCCACGAATTTGAAATGAAATCATGGAAGTTACAACCAACACCACCTTCAATAGCTCAACAACTCCATAAAAGCAAGAATCTAGCTTCCCTTACCTTGGGTAGCATGAATACGAGGAAGAAGAAAGGAGACTCGAAGCTCCACACAAAATTAGCTATTTGATTTGAGGTTCCCACCACCTGAATCACAACAATGGAATCTTAGGTAAGAATTAGAAGAAGAAGAAGAAGACAAAAAAGATTGAGAGAAAAAGAGTTCATGGATCAGAGACCTTCTCTCTAGAATCCTCTCTCTAGAAAGTTAAGGGGGAGAGTTTATGAGGCTCTACTCAAAATATAAACCCTATATACTCCTTCCTCCAAGGTCAAATTGGGTGTCTACCCAGAGAACCCCTTCTCAACACCATTGAAGCTCTAAAGGGATCCTCAGACCCTCAAGCCTCTCAGCTCTAACAACTCAACTTAACAACATAAAAAATTAGGAGTAATACAACACTATCACAACTTACAATGTTACAAAAATCATCTCTATTTGAACTAGGGCCAGCGTGGGTTTATCCACGCCAAGTATGATTGTCTTGGGGAATCCTTGACTTCATCCATGTCAGGTGCAGGTTGAATGGCGTCGGGTGTGGATTACCTTATTAAAACTTGTAATTTTTTTTTTGATAAAATGGTGAACATGAATAGGTTAGGTGAATCAACAACATGTTTTATGTTGATTAACTTGTTGGATTGTTGATTGTTTAGGTGATGATGTTGACAATGCTTTAGGCATGTTATGTTGTTGAATTGTTTAATGTTGAGGTGATGGTGTCAAGAATGCTTTAAGAATTTAGGTATGTTATGTTTATTGACTTAAAACTAGAGGAGAGGGTTTTTTTTTCTTCGAAAGTTGGATATCCCAAATTGAGGATATTGGTGTGATGCTTCAAGAGCCCAATTTTTTTAAAAATTCTTCTTGAGTAGTTGACTCTTGAAGTGGATAATTGAGTCTCTTCTAAGACCTTAGTTGATGTGGTATGTGGGTTAAGTCAAGACATACCAGTTGTAAGTGACCAATGTTAATTTGTATGTGGACAAAGGTCAAGACACATGTGTATAAAGTGACCAACCAAGTAAGGTACAAAGTCAGGAGCTTAGTCTCTAATTTAGTACTTAAGAGGCATAGTATTTGGAGGGTAGTTGGTGGGCTAAATACATAGGGGGCTTAGTGTTGCAAACTAATGTCATGGTAGACTTATAGCCAAGTTGTTCTATCCTAACAAGAATACTAGACTTCCTAGTTAAGTGGCAACATTTGAGGAATCATGTTGTTGGAGATTGGCATCTCATTTGGTTGTTGATCTAACAAGTGTAAAAAGTTGTGTTAGTTTAGTAGGGTTAAGCCACTTAGATTATTCATATCTATTGTAGGAGATCTTCGTACGTAAATGCATCATGACATAAGTAGTTGAGGTATTGTGCATATGATGCGGTGATTTTGGTGTTGTTCATATGCTACTGGGTTTGGTTGTTGGATGGCATGGTTGTTGGTATATGATGAAATTTTTGTTTACTTTTTAAGGTTGTTGGATGCCATGTTGAAATGTTGTTGCAGTTTACATGATATTGTTAGTAGTATAGTTGTTTTACTCCTATACTAGCTATCTGTTTATTCTTTTGTTAATTATAGCTTATCCTTACATGTTTCTTGGTGGTTCGATTGTAACAGCCCAAATTTTACTGGGTCAAGAGCCCAATTAAGGTGGTTTAGTAGCCCGGAACGGGCCGTTCCAAATTACTAAATAGACCTACTTTTGGAAGCCCAGAACGAGCCGTTCTGGATTTGGAATGGGCTACACCTTGAAGAAGAAGTTTACATGTCCTAGCCTCTTGGTTTTGAGTCATCTGACAAGTCCCTGGTCTGCAAACTTCACAAGGCCATTTATGGTCTTAAACAAGCTCCGCGTGCTTGGTTTGAAAAACTAAAGGCCACTCTGTTTCACCTCAACTTTCAGACCAGCAAGTGTGATCCTTCTCTCTTTGTTTATTCCCATGCTAATAACATCATCTACATTCTTGTTTATGTTGATGATATCATCATCACTGGCAATAATACTGCTTTCCTCAGAAACATTGTTTCCCAGCTCAATTCTGCCTTCTCCCTTAAGGATCTTGGTCAATTGGATTACTTTCTTGGCATTGAAGTTAAATCCAATTCTGATGGTTCACTCACCCTGACTCAAAGCAAATACGTTCGTGATCTCCTTAGTCGCACTGACATGGAAAACTCCAAACCTATCGCTTCACCCATGGTCTCTGGATGTAAACTTTCAAAATCTGGTTCTGATAAATTTCTCAATGTGTCCTTATACAGGTTTGTGGTTGGTGCCTTATAGTATGCCACGATAACTCGGCCTGAAATTAGTTTTTCGGTCAACAAGGTGTGCCAGTTCATGTCTAGTCCCTTAGAGCAACATTAGTCTGCTGTCAAGCGCATTCTTCGCTACTTAAAAGGAACCATCTCCCTTGGCCTTCATCTCCAACCCGCTCCTCCTAACTCTCCCTTGTCCATTCAAGCCTACTGTGGCTTTCAATCTTTATCCCATGACTACTCGGGCTAAAGCGGGTATTGTCAAACCCCAACTTCAACCCACTCTTTTACTCACTCATTTTGAACCCAAAAGTACCAAACAAGCCCTGGCTAGTGACACCTAGCTTGCTGCCATGAAGCAGGAATATGATGCTTTAATAGCCAATGGCACCTGGACCTTAGTATCACTTCCCTCCCACAGAACAGCCATTGGTTGTAAGTGGGTCTTTCGCATTAAAGAGAATCCTGATGGAACTGTTCACAAACATAAAGCTCGCCTGGTTGCCAAGGGTTTCCATCAGCAATTTGGATTTGACTATACTGAGACCTTCTCTCCGGTTGTAAAGCCCGTTACCATCCGTCTCATTCTCACTCTTGCACTCACCCATCACTGGTCCATCCAGTAGCTAGATGTCAACAATGCCTTCCTTAATGGCCACCTTGAAGAAGAAGTTTACATGTCCTAGCCTCTTGGTTTTGAGTCATCTGACAAGTCCCTGGTCTGCAAACTTCACAAGGCCATTTATGGTCTTAAACAAGCTCCGCGTGCTTGGTTTGAAAAACTAAAGGCCACTCTGTTTCACCTCAACTTTCAGACCAGCAAGTGTGATCCTTCTCTCTTTGTTTATTCCCATGCTAATAACATCATCTACATTCTTGTTTATGTTGATGATATCATCATCACTGGCAATAATACTGCTTTCCTCAGAAACATTGTTTCCCAGCTCAATTCTGCCTTCTCCCTTAAGGATCTTGGTCAATTGGATTACTTTCTTGGCATTGAAGTTAAATCCAATTCTGATGGTTCACTCACCCTGACTCAAAGCAAATACGTTCGTGATCTCCTTAGTCGCACTGACATGGAAAACTCCAAACCTATCGCTTCACCCATGGTCTCTGGATGTAAACTTTCAAAATCTGGTTCTGATAAATTTCTCAATGTGTCCTTATACAGGTTTGTGGTTGGTGCCTTATAGTATGCCACGATAACTCGGCCTGAAATTAGTTTTTCGGTCAACAAGGTGTGCCAGTTCATGTCTAGTCCCTTAGAGCAACATTAGTCTGCTGTCAAGCGCATTCTTCGCTACTTAAAAGGAACGCTTTCAATCTTTATCCCATGACTACTCGGGCTAAAGCGGGTATTGTCAAACCCCAACTTCAACCCACTCTTTTACTCACTCATTTTGAACCCAAAAGTACCAAACAAGCCCTGGCTAGTGACACCTAGCTTGCTGCCATGAAGCAGGAATATGATGCTTTAATAGCCAATGGCACCTGGACCTTAGTATCACTTCCCTCCCACAGAACAGCCATTGGTTGTAAGTGGGTCTTTCGCATTAAAGAGAATCCTGATGGAACTGTTCACAAACATAAAGCTCGCCTGGTTGCCAAGGGTTTCCATCAGCAATTTGGATTTGACTATACTGAGACCTTCTCTCCGGTTGTAAAGCCCGTTACCATCCGTCTCATTCTCACTCTTGCACTCACCCATCACTGGTCCATCCAGTAGCTAGATGTCAACAATGCCTTCCTTAATGGCCACCTTGAAGAAGAAGTTTACATGTCCTAGCCTCTTGGTTTTGAGTCATCTGACAAGTCCCTGGTCTGCAAACTTCACAAGGCCATTTATGGTCTTAAACAAGCTCCGCGTGCTTGGTTTGAAAAACTAAAGGCCACTCTGTTTCACCTCAACTTTCAGACCAGCAAGTGTGATCCTTCTCTCTTTGTTTATTCCCATGCTAATAACATCATCTACATTCTTGTTTATGTTGATGATATCATCATCACTGGCAATAATACTGCTTTCCTCAGAAACATTGTTTCCCAGCTCAATTCTGCCTTCTCCCTTAAGGATCTTGGTCAATGATTAATATTTATATATGTGTTGGGATAGTAAGGGTGTTACATCGATTTTGATGATCATGTTTACATGAGAGCAGGACAGGGTTATGCTGGAGGCTTTTGGAGTGTTGAGAGCCAGGTTGTTGGTGGTGTAGCTTGATGCATCTTATGGTGGTAGTCTTTTTGTAGTGTTGCATGACCAGCGACATAGGTTCATTCACTTCAATTTTTGGATTACTGTATATACATATGTACCTATATAATATTTCGGTTGTTGCAAGACTCCAAAACTTATCAATTTGCTTTCTCTCCCTAAGATTTTTGAGAAATTGAGTTTATGAGATTCAATTATTAAAAGAAACCTTATATACCGCCTCCCTTTAGGATCAACTAAATCTTTGGTTAGAAACCCTCATAACTCACCCAATTCAACCTTATACAATGCTACAATATGTATATACTATATATGCATTAGTAATTGATAAACTTTTAATTGTATATATATATATTATCATTTGTATATTTAGGAACTGCAGGTATGTTAAACTTAGGTAGAAACTTGTATGTTTTCCATTACTTGTAGTTGAACTCTTAAGTATAAGGATCACGACAAGTTGTTGCATATTGTACAAGTTTGATATTGTTTTTGAAAAATATTAATACGTGATTATTGCTAATGTCACATATATTAATATGTTTTAACTTTTTTAAAAGAAAATGAATTTTGATTTGATCTCTGTAAAAATTTTGCATTGTTTTTCATTCTCTAAGATTGAAAATCATTGTTTTTAGTCTCAACTATTATGTAACATTTGTTAACGATCTACAAGTTGAATCAAATAATCACCTTAGGTGGCACCTACACCTATTAGTGCTTCTAGTACTATACCACACGAAGTGTTATTTATATCTTAAAACAAAGATTTGGGGACCATAATTTGATTTTAGATTTTAGAATGATAAAAATAAACAAAAATCATTTTACAAAAATCAAAACGAAAATTTCTTTATTTTACAAAGACCAAAATTAATCATTTTAAATTTTATTTCTCAATGTGTCCTTATACAGGTTTGTGGTTGGTGCCTTATAGTATGCCACGATAACTCGGCCTGAAATTAGTTTTTCGGTCAACAAGGTGTGCCAGTTCATGTCTAGTCCCTTAGAGCAACATTATATTTCTATATTTAGACAATTTTGGCCACTTCAAGTTAAATAAATTCTCATAACCTCCAAACACTTGTCTAATTTTTAAATAAAAAACACACAACAATTAAATAAGAAATAAATACACAAACAGACACAGGTCTAAAACCATTAGAAAGAAGTCAACCCTTCAGGTTTGAGTGTTGCCCCTTCTTCTTGTTGCATGTTGATTCTGAGGTTATTTTCAAATTTCTTGAGTTTTTGTTGATTAATTTGATGGGTTACATGTATGGTTTGAAGGCTAGATGATATGGGAGAACACATGTACAATGGGTGTTCTTTCATTCTCAATGGGCAAGCCTTAAAAAACAAAAGCCAAAATACTCTAATCACATTCTCACTCAATGAGGCTTTGAGTTACTCAACGAGAATGCGTGTTCATCATGAACACTATTGAGCTGCATCAGGCGACACTATAATCTTCAAGCGAGCTTAAGTTGTTGTTGATGTGGAGGTTGGGAGCTTGCCCAATGAGTGGATCGTTAGAGAGTCTTGGTCGACTCAACGAGCTATAGCCATCCAATAAGAGAAGTCATAGAGGGTCCTGATTGCTCAACACCTAACAAAAGGAGCCATAAAGGGTTTCTCTCATTGAGGGAATTGTATCTCGCTCAACGAGAGACCCTAATGTGGTTGGGTGCTTAACGAGAACCCTATTTTGCTTATACCTTAAGTTAGCTGATTTTTATTGAAGTACTTGATATATTTTGATGTAATTTACTCAAAGATATTGTAGAATATTGGATAATGATGATGTATGATATTGAATGATGTTGACTTAAGATGAGTTGAGATAAATTGTTTTGATTTATCATATGTTGTTTAAGTTTAGATGTTGAATAAGATGAATAGATTACACCTTGACTATTTATATGTATCTATAGCTTCAAAGGAAGCTATAGATACATTAACCTGTTGAACAGGTAACCAGAACAGAAAACATAAAGAATAACAAATAGGTAGCAAACTAATACAGGAATAAAAAATAATACAATGCAAAGGAGTATCTGCAAACTTCACAAGGCCATTTATGGTCTTAAACAAGCTCCGCGTGCTTGGTTTGAAAAACTAAAGGCCACTCTGTTTCACCTCAACTTTCAGACCAGCAAGTGTGATCCTTCTCTCTTTGTTTATTCCCATGCTAATAACATCATCTACATTCTTGTTTATGTTGATGATATCATCATCACTGGCAATAATACTGCTTTCCTCAGAAACATTGTTTCCCAGCTCAATTCTGCCTTCTCCCTTAAGGATCTTGGTCAATTGGATTACTTTCTTGGCATTGAAGTTAAATCCAATTCTGATGGTTCACTCACCCTGACTCAAAGCAAATACGTTCGTGATCTCCTTAGTCGCACTGACATGGAAAACTCCAAACCTATCGCTTCACCCATGGTCTCTGGATGTAAACTTTCAAAATCTGGTTCTGATAAATTTCTCAATGTGTCCTTATACAGGTTTGTGGTTGGTGCCTTATAGTATGCCACGATAACTCGGCCTGAAATTAGTTTTTCGGTCAACAAGGTGTGCCAGTTCATGTCTAGTCCCTTAGAGCAACATTAGTCTGCTGTCAAGCGCATTCTTCGCTACTTAAAAGGAACCATCTCCCTTGGCCTTCATCTCCAACCCGCTCCTCCTAACTCTCCCTTGTCCATTCAAGCCTACTGTGATGCTGATTGGGCTTCTGACTCTGATGATCGCCGCTCTACCTCTGGTGCCGCCATCTTCATTAGACCCAATCTCATCTCTTGGTGGTC